GGAGTGGGGGGGGCGCGAGCCCCTCCGGTGGCGCGGCGCGCCCCCCAGCCCTTAACTCTTTTTTGGCAGTCATTCACCCTGTTAGGCTTACCACGCATCCCTGGTCCACATTTGTGGGCTGTGGTTTTTACAGTAATTGGCTTGTCGTAGCTCTTGCAGGGTTATTCTGGTGTGCTCCATTGGTGGCTACCCAGTGGGAACTTTGTACTCTTGCTTTTGTTTAAGTGTTTCACTGCTGTTCTACTGAGCGCCTCCCCCTGCCCTGTGTAAAGCAATTAGAGAAAATCTCTCTAAGGGACAGGCTCTGTGTCTGGCCAGGTTGGCCCTGAGCCCCCAATCCTCCTGAAATTGCTCGTGTTATAGACACGCTATCGTGCCATGCTGTGATGCTGACCTTTCCAGGAGGCCTGTGTAGCCCGTTTTTCCTGCCTGCCTGGCATTTATTGTCTATACCAGGGTTGTTCAGTGCAGTCCAGAGTGTCTTAAGAATCACTCAAGAGTCTAGGTGACATGTTTTTGCCAGAGGACACAAAAAGAGAGAAAGCATGCCCCCTCCCTGCCATGGGCTCAGTCATGCCACGATCCTTTTCTTCCATCTCTCCATCTCTCAGAGTTTGGGGCACACATGCAGACGTCTGGCATAGTTTTCAAGTCTCCATAGCTGAGGCTTAAGAAATGTATTTATTTATTTATTTATTTATTTATTGAAATGTATGTATGTATTGTTATTTGACCAGCAAGAGAGAGAGTGTGTGTGTGTGTGTGTGTGTGTGTGTGTGTGTGAGAGAGAGAGAGAGAGAGAGAGAAAGAAAGAAAGAAAGAAAGAAAGAAAGAAAGTAAGTAAGTAAGTAAGTTGCCAGGTCCGGGACTCAAACTGCAGTCAGCCATGTGAGAGTCCAGTACCATTACCCACCACACCAGCTGCGGTCCCTCTATGTATGTACTTTACTATTAGCCATTTTTAATGCACAAGTGGGGGACAAAATGCTCATAAATGCTGCACAGTTTCACAAAACTCACTGCAGGGAGAAAAGTGACCGAGCTGGATCGGTAGTTTCCTACGATCTAGATGAATGCTTTCCTGGGGGAGGTGGACCTCTGATGGCTGCTGGAGGGGGTTTCATTCCTGGAAGGGACATGCTTATAAGTGTACCTCAAGCATGGTAAAGTCCAATTGGTAAACCCATGGATGTTCTTATGCCAGATGGCTTAGCCATAATGCCTGCAGGGGGGTTGCTCTGCCTACAGGTGGGAGTGGAGTCCCCCATCCTGGTGCGTACTACGTTGGGGCTCTAGAGATGCTGGCAGTAGCAGCAATAGCAGCTAGAGTGTCTCTGCCCTGTGGAGTCATTCCTCAGACAGAGCCTGCCAACGCCAGGGCCTCCTGCAGCTCCAGCAAGTGGTACCCGAGCAATGCCAGTATCGTTGGGAGGTGGCCCTTCCACAGTCATGGACACCAGGTTCTCGCCCGCAGCTACACCAGACCCAAAACCTGCGCTTCACGCTCTGGCTGCTTCGCATTCTTTGGCTTGATCTTCTGAACTCATCACAGTCACAGCGGATCGAATTCATGTGCTTTTCAAAAGCCTTGAAGGTGCCAATGAAGACTCAGCCGTCTTGCGGGGTACACCGCATTCTGTAGTCAGTGTGCTGCAGTGTCTTGCTGCTCTTGGCCACAGTCACGATTACTGTTCTACCAAGTCCAACATCCACAGTAAATTTTCGGGATTCTTGGGACCAGCAGTTGGCGTAATGGCTATGTTGCTGGATTCCCATATGGTCGACTGTGGTTCAAGTCCTGGACACGGTGACTTAAACTCACGCCAGGCGTGTGTGTGTGTGTGTGTGTGTGTGTGTGAGTGTGACCAAGATCCCGAGAGGAGAATGGAGGAGAAGGGATTGCTGCATGGCCATACCTCCTGGGAGGTGATTTCTTGCTTTCTGTCTCTCTGTCGTTCTGGCAAGTGCACATGCCCTATAGCAAAAATCTCTCTCAAAAAAAAAAAGGAAAATATTTCGGGATCCTTAAGGCCTGGAGGAAGGCTATGATAAAGGGATGATGCAGGTTCTCCTAGAAACAATGCAAGCGGGGCAGCAGCTTCAGCAGACAGAGCCTCGGTGTTTTAATACTGCTTTCACAGCCTCTTGGTGTCTCAGCTAAGAATGCCTGTCTTAGTTCTGCCTTGAAATCCACAGCAGTTACGTGCTGCTGAGAACGTCTTGGGTGCGCTGACATTCTTCCACTTCTGGCACGTGCAGTTCTGTGGTGTGTCTCAGGTGTCAGCGATCCTTGCTTGCTCCTTCATTGCTGGCCACCCCACTGTGCACAGCACTGCACCCCACCTCTGAGATTTGTACCGGAGCTGGCCTTGGGGACCTGGCTCCCTGTGCTCCGTGGCTAACCACCGTGCCACAGGGCTCATCTAGGTAATTTTTATGGACATTGACTGTAACTATTTTGCATTTGTTTTCATAGTGTCTAGTCACTCTTGACTAAATCTCATCTTTCCAATAGGCTGTGAATTCCTTGAAGGGAGAAATTTATGTTAATTGTATCAAGTTTACCACTTATTTTTTCCCCCTTTTCAATCATTTCCACTTAATTTGTAGGTAAACTGCTTGTCGACATCTCTGCTACTCACTTGCTTTACTCACACGGTGTTCCACCTAGTGGTCATAGAGGGTACTTTCCATTCCCCAAGGTGAGCTGTGTTCCTCCGAGAAGACCTGGAATGCAGTTATAGGGAGGCTAACAGAGGAGGGAACAGTGAAGTTTTCATTTTGATCTTTAAATTTTTTCCATAGGGCACATGTGCTCTCTAGAGACACATGGGGGTAGGAGAAAGAAATCACCCCTAAGGGGATGGCCATGCTACCGTCCTTTCTCCTCATCTCCTCTCTTGGGGCTTTTGGCACACATACACACTTTTCTTGCTTGTTTCCCGAGCCGCCGTGTCTATGAGGAGAAATAAGCATTTTAGCAATAGGGTAGTAAACTACCGTAAGCGATACAGAGGAAAGTCTGCTGTCTGTGCAGGGCTGGGAAAGGCTTTATGAGAATAGGTCGTTTCATGGCAGAGGTGATGTGCTGTGAAGGCAGCGGCCACGGTGCCCGCTCTCAGGGCGGAAGATGCACAGAGAGCGTGGGCTCTGGAGCCAGACTGCCTGTGCTCACATCTGCTCCGTGAGAGCTGTGCGGTCGTGGGTGTTACTGAGGCTTGCTTTCCCAACTATCAGTGCTGTTCTCTTCTCCAACAGGAAGTCTAAGGACACCATCGACAAAACAGCTTTTCACAGTAAACACTTCTGTGCGGATTCCCATGACTTATCACAGACACTCAGACATTTTAATCAAGAAGGTACAAAATTGGTTGAAGAGTCCATAAAACATTGTGAAAAACTCAATGTTGACCTGGAAAAAACATGTCGAGAGACTGAACGAAGATGTGAGTCTCTGAACTCAAGCATGGTCTGTTTCTCAGAGCAGTGGGTATCCTGCCTAAACAAAGGAGAAGAGGAACTGCAGAGCTTCCTGGAGGTAATAACCTTGTGACTGGGATCTGCTTTGAGGAGGATAGTGATAATCAGGAAACTATCAGTCCTAGGCTAAGAGTTGATATCAAGGGACCAGCAGATAGTGTAATAGTTATGTTGCTGGACTCCCACGTAGTCTGCTAAGGATCGAGTTCTGAACCAGGCAGCTTAAAACTCAAACTGGGCTTGTGTGCATGCATGCCCAAAATTCCAAGAGGAGAATGGAAGAGAAGGGACTGCAGCATGACTGTCCCCAATGAGGTGACTTTCTCTTTCTTTTTCTATTTCTCTCTGGCAAGTGCACACCCCTCTGGGAAATTTTGAAAAAAAGAAGAATGTGCCTTTTCACTCTGAAAAGTGTCCCAATTTGGATCATCAGTTCCATAGTCACCCATCTAAGACATACCAACCAAATCGCTTAATGAATTCTGGTTCTAGCAAACCAATTGCGAAAAGCATTTGAGATAGCTGCTGAAATTTGGACACTTGACCATAACTTTGTTGGGAAGGAATCGGCGTTTTAAGTATATGTTCTTTTCCTGTTTTAGCTTTTGCTATAGCATATATGTGCCAGCTACAGACAGCTAGGGAGAGTGAGAAATCACCCCACCAGACGGGATGGTTTTCCATTCTCCTCTTGGGATTTCAGGCATAACCTCCACACATACCGGCATGGTTTTCTTTTCTTTTTTCCTTTTTTTTGGTGAAGTTTTTACTATAGGGTATGTGTGCTCGCCAGAATGATAGAGAGACAGAAAGCAAGAAATCACTCCCTAGGGGGAATGGCCACGCCACAATCCCTTCTCCTCCATTCTCCTCTCGGGATCCTGGGCACGCACAGACACACATCTGGCGAGAGTTTAAACCACCGGGTCTGGGGCTCTAACCATGGTCGACTACATGGGAGTCCAGTGACATAGCCATCACGCCATCTGCTGGTCCTGCCGGTGTGTTTTTCAAGCTGCTAGGTCTAGGACTTGACCATGAAGTCAGCCATATGAGATGTAGCCGCCTTAACCTCCACACCACCTCTGGCCCACAACGTTAAAATTTTTCACGAAACGACAGTCTTAAAATGCTCTTAACTGTTGGAGAGACATGCAGTAATAAATGGACAAAGACGATTTGCTTCAGAAATAATCCTGTGTTTGAGGAGACCAATCATTTTCTTTTTGTACCCCAGGTACTGGTAAATGTTGAGGCTGGGTGGTGGGTACCAGGAGCTTAAATTTGCTGCTCTCCTAATTTTAAATGTGTTTTAAGACTTTTATTGTGGAAATTTTAGAAGTAAGGGACAGTGATATTTTGGATAAAGCATTGTGACTTCAATGTCGGTAATGAAAGCGTATTTGCATTACTTACAGGTTGTACACCAGTGCTGTGAGTCTTCGAGTTCAGAGCTCACTGGAAAGTTAAGTGAGCACAAAGCAGCCAATGAGAACCAGCGCACTGCTTTTATTGACCAGATAAATGCTGATGATGAAAAATTGATGGCACAAAATCTAGAGCTTAATGAAACTATAAAAATCGGCTCGACTAAGCTGAATTGCTTTCTGCAGCAAGATCTGAAACTGGACGTCCCAACAGGTACTTTAAAAGGAAAATACGATTTGTAAGTGTTGTGATGTCGAACTCAACTTGACACGGTGTCAGGTGTTCAGAAAAACCAGGTTCTGCCATGGCCTGATGGGAATTAAGCAGCTCATGGCAATCGGCTCAGATATGGAAATTGGAATCCCAAATAGTTCTGATTAAGCATTAGTTGTCCTTAAATGGGGGCTATGAACTGTTACAAATTTGGGCATCATGAATCAGAATTTCACAAATATTCAGGGAACTGGCTTTTTTATGATAAGACATGTTAAAAGAACAAAAATAAAGTTGACAGACCACACATGTGAATACCTAAAGTACTGGAGGGGTGTAACTGGCAAAATCCGGCTTAATGCAAAGATCACCACATTGTACACTTGGTTATGTGTCTCTGTCATCTTTTTCATGGACTCACCATTTTGGGTAATCAGATATGGCAAAGATCAGTGTAGGCTATGGTGATTCCAGGAGAGCTGCCTGGAAGAAGGTGTAACAAGCTGATTTACACAGGACCAGTAAGTAAGTTCTTCACTGGTTTGTTGTGATAGTTGAATACCTTGTAAGTTCACTAGAAATTGAATTGTGCACTAAAATTAGTCAATCTTATGATATATAAATTATATCTTAAAGTTGTTATTTTCTTGTCAGCATTTATATTGTAAAGGAGATGGTGCTAAACTATATTAGCTTATTTCTTTTCTAAAAGACCTATAAGATTTCTTGTTCGATTCTCAGTGATATTAAGATGTAAATGTTAAGTGAAAAGCCATGTGCTTTTGTGAATTATGGGAGCGTGAGTTCATTACAAAGAAATAATAACTGTTTATTGCTTAACTAGTAGGGCTGGCAGGTGGCGTGGTGGTTAGATCACTGAACACCCACATGGCCAACTGTGGTTTGAGTCCTGGGCCTGGCAGCTTACTTTTTCACTTTCCCTTTCCCTTTGTCTGTGGTCAAAATTTTAAAATTATAATAACAAAATAAATAAATGAATCTAAAAAGAATACATCACCACCAACACCACATTTACAGTGAGTGGTTATTCCTACCGAAGTATTCACGTTACGAAAATGTATTTTTGGTGCAGCAGTGCTGCTGTTTCTTAGAACATTGTGAAATTCTTCTGGAGCCTATAACATAGTTTTTGACCTCAGTTATGGAGAACATAGTAGGATGAATCTTGAAAATAGTCAAGTCTATTTAAGATCAGTTGTGCAATTGGAAAATGTTATTAGTTGCAAGCAATATATGGCCGATAAGTAACAAGACCAATTCTCATGTATGGCATTCATTCTGTTTGTGGAAGATAAGACTCCCTTGAAAGTATGCATTTTTTTTTATAAAATCCTATTTATATCTCATAGTACGATTTTCCTCAAATATCAAATGTCTCCTAAAGGTACGACACCAGAGAGGAAAAGCTATTCATACCCATCGACACTGGTGAGAACCGAACCACGCCAGCAGCTCCTCGACCAGCTGAAAAGGAGACAGCCTGAGCTCTTAATGATGCTCAACTGTCCAGAAAACAAACAGGACACCAGCCAGGTAACCTGACAGCATCCTCATTTTAGAACTCGCTCACAGCTGTCAATGGGGCCAATGCCCTGTGAGACATTTCACCCTCCTCCTGCCCACCCCTGCCTCTCATTAACGATGGTTACCTGATCTTTAAACCCATTTCTTTTAATCTGGCCCATTTTTAAATTACTAGGTTAGAAGATAATAATAATAGCTATTGTGTTTATGTGCCAGGCACTGTACTCGGCTCTTTACATATACGTTAACTGTCTTCTTTCAGTAACTCTGTAAGGTAGATGCCAGTACTATCCTCATTTTCTAATTTAGGGCACTAAGAATTCCTTTATGCCAGATTTCACAATGGAATTGCATTTCTAACCTAGACAACCAAACTTGCAATGTGCTCTTAACTGTATTAATTATAGAAAAGTTAGGAAATTACAAAGTAACAAAGGAAAATAAGGAACAAAACTATAACCCAAGTATTACTACTTTTTTAAGAGAGTTTTTTAAAAGAATTATTTAATTCCATTTGTTATTATTATTATTATTTTGTTTTAATTTGACCAGAGACAGAGAGAAAGGAAAAGTGAGAAGCAAGCCACCAGGTCCAGGACTTGAACTGTGGTCAACCATGTGGGAATCCAGTGCCTTTAACCACCACGTCACCTGCTGGCCCCTTAAGAGAGATTTTTGCTATAGGGCACTGAGCTGGCCAGAGACACAGAGAGAGAAAAGGCAAAAAATCACCCACCAGGCGGATGGCCTCCCTGATATTCCCTCTCTTTCATTTTCCTCTCATGATTCTGGGCACATGTGCATATGCACCCAGCTTGAGTTCCAAGCCATTGGATCCAGGACTAGAACCACAGTCCACCATCAGGGAGTCCAACATTTTAACCATTACACTCCCTCTTGGCCCTTGAACTGACTACTTTTAACATACTGGTGTAGGAACTCTGTATATAAAAATATATTAGGGATTATTTTGGGGGGACCAGCAGATGGCCTAATGGCTACATTGCTAGTCGGCCACAGTTCAAGTCCCGGACCACGCCAGGCGCATGTGCATGCATGCCCAAGATCCCGAGAAGAGAGTGGAGGAGAAGGGATTGCGGCGTGGCCATCACCCCCTGGGGGATGATTTCTCACTTTCTCTCTGTCTCTGTCTGTCTTTCTGGCAAGCGCCTGTTCCCCATAGCAAAATCCTCTCCAAAAAAAAATTTTCATACATACATACATAAATAAATAAATACACACACACACACACACACATATATGTATGTATGTATATATATAAATATATATATATATTTATATTTATATATATATATATATTAGGAGTTTATTTCAATATTTGGTAGACTTTTTACTAATTAGGTTGAGGTTTAGCTTTTATATAATGGGCATTGTGTTATATTCCAAGAAGAAAACTGCCTCTACTTTCTTGATTTTTTTAAACTTTGTTTTTAGGTTCTTGCTTAGGATATGTGTGCTCACCGGAGAGGTGGTGGGAGGCAAAGTGAGAAGTCGCCTCTCCAGGAGGGACGGCCATCCCACAGTCCTCTCTGCTCCATGCTCCTCCCGGGACTTTGGGCACACGCACATAGGAGCCTGGTGGTTTTCTAGATGATTTTTCAGTCCTTGGACTTAATCATTCATTCAGCTTCTTATTTTAGGATATGGATGAAGATAGTGTCCTGGAACCCTGCATTGAAGAAGCTCCAAGTCTAAAGACCCCTGTAGACGCCGATGTGGATTGTCCGTCGAGTGGCGGCGTCCCGTTTTTCCAGGTACCTGGCTCTGTCCTTCAGATAGCCCTCCACACCTGACCGAGTCACTCACAGTTCAGAGTAAGGGCATTGCTCGGGTGAGCAGAACAACAAAGCATTCGACTAGACTGGATATTCAGCCCATGATCCTTACCGGCACATTTATGGTATTCAGTGATACACGGTCATTTCTCTCTTCACTCTGCCTTTGACACGGAAGTCCTGGAGCCCACCTCTGCCTATACAGGTTTTGAAAGCTAAGGGATTTAAGGGCTTGAGAGACTGAAGGCCTCTTGAGTTACAGAAGTGATTTCTCCTGCCAGAGGCTGGGTTCTTGTTACCGTCTCCTGAGCCCCTGGCCTGCTCTGACCTGCGCAGCTAAATTCTGCAACCTCTCCTGCCCACCTTTTCATGCTGTTGGTAGCAAGGCATTATAAACTACCTCGTGTCTCTCCCTCTGGGAGATGCGTGTTTACAGAGCGTGCGAAGAATTTCCTTATGAAGGACGTTGACTTCCACGTTGTGTAGGTGAACTGCTGCTTCTGACGTGTGTGCCCTTACCTGTTTCTAATAGATTTCCCTCAAGGTGCAAGATTTTTTTTTTTTTTTTTTTTTTTTAAGAGGTTTTTGCTATAGGGCGTGTGCGTTCATCAGAAAGACAGAGACAGAAAGACAGAAAGTGAGAAATCACCCCCCAGGGGGGATGGCCACGGTGTAATCCCTTCTCTCCCTATTCTCCTCTTGGGATCTTGGGCACACACGCACACACGCTTGGTGTGAGTTTAAGCCACTGGGTCCAGGACTCGAACCACAGTCGACTACATGGGAGTTCAGCAACAGCCATTACACTAACTGCTGGTCCCAAGGCTGCAAGATTCTTCACCTCTGCTTTAAACTGCTTCAGGTCCTAGCTCAGATCCTCTTAAGTGCCTTTCTGTCTCAGGGCAATTTCCCCCCAAATTCTTTTACCCTTTGGTTTATTGCTCAAGAGAACTATAAATATTTCTTTCAGTTTTTCATCCTTTTCTGTCTTACAAAGTTAAGAAAGAGGGAAAGATAAGAAACTTAGTAACCATTTCATCTCTGGTCAGAAATTTTCAGTATTGCTATGTGGTGTTTTGAAGGCTAAGTTAGAGACTCGGCTATGGCAGGGAAGTCCCTGTTATAGCAGAAAGGTTTTGGGATGGAGATTGCCATCCTCAGCTGGAGGCGAGCATCTTAGTCCCTTTTCTTCTGCTATAACAGAACACTATAGACCGAGTAATTTATAAGGAAGCAGAATTAATAGATTGATTTATTAATTTATTTTTAAAGAATTGTTTAACTTTATTTATTTATTTATTTTTGACCAGAAAGGGACAGAGTGAGACAGAGGGTGGGGAGTGAGAAAGCAAGCTGCCAGATCTGGGACTCGAACCACGGTCAGCCATGTGGGAAGTCCAGCGCCATTAATCACTATGCTACCTGCTAGCCCCATTATTTATTATTTTTTAGAAGATTTTCGCTGTAGGGTGTGTGTGCTTCCCAGAGAGACAGAGAGGGACAGTCCCTTCTCCTCCATTCTCCTCTTGGGATTTTGGGCACGCACACATGTGCCTGGCATGAGTTCCCAGTCTCTGGATCCAAGATTTGACCCACTGTCGACTGTGGTAGTCCAGCGACAGAACCATTTCAGCATCTGCTGGTTCCAGAAGCAAAATTTATCCCTTACAGTCTGGAGGATGCTTCTGGCATAAGCTTGGCATCTGGCGAAGGCCTTCTTATTGCACAGTAACACGGTGTAAGGGCAAGGGAATATGTGAGACAGAACAAGATGGGGGCTGAACTTAACCTTTTACCAGGGCCCACTCCCACGAGAGCAGCATGAATCCATTCAGGAGGGTTTCTAATCACCTCTTACATGCCCCACCTCCAGTACCATTCCACTGGCAATTAAATTTTGACTTCAGTTATAGCAGGGACCACAACTAAACTGCAGCATTTAAACCATAGCATTCGGGGTCTGGCTGATGGCGTGGTAGTTGAGGGTGCTGGACTCCAGCATGGCTGACCATGGTTTGAATCCTGGATCTGGCCTGGCAGCTGGCTTTCTCACTACCCCCCCAAACTCTGTCCCTGTCCAGTCAGATTTATTTATTTATTTAAATATACATATACATATAAAAAAGAATTCTAAAACAAAAACCACCGCATTCTATCCTGGCCCCCAAAAAGCGCATGTCCTTCTCACAATGCAAATTACTATCCCAATATTCCCCAAAGTCTTGTTCCATGATCAACTCAAAATTACAAAGTCTAGTCTCATCTAAATTAGATTTGTGTGTAACTCAAAACACTGTTTATCCGAGGCAAACGCCTCTCTCCCTGTGAGCCTGTGAAATCAATGCAAATGCTGTGGTCAGACAGGTACGGGATAGATGGTCTCATTCCGAAAGGGAAAAATAGGCCAGAGAAAAGGAGCAACATGCTAGGTTAAGTCTAAATAGTGAAACACCAAGTCTTAAAACTGGAGGGTAATCTCCCTTGATTCCACATCCTACATCCTGGGCATGCTGAGGGCTTTGGGCCCCTAGAATATTGTTTGGCCTATCCCCGGTGGCCTTTAGGCTCTAGGTCCACGCATCAGTTTCGTGGGCTGGAGCCTTATTCCTGCAGCTCTCCTAAACTGGAGTTTTATGTCGGTGGCCCTATGCTTCTGGGGTCTCAGGAAAATCACTCTCATGGTTTTCCACTAGGTGTTGCCCAGTTGGGACGCTGGCAGGTCTGCCCCTGCAGGAGTTTCCTGCCTGGCCAGGCTATCTGCAGCCTCCTCTGAAGTCCAGCTGGAGGTCACCATGCCTTCTGGTGCTTGCGTTCTGGGATCCTGTGGGATTGGCACCGCCTGGACTCCCGAGGATGACTGGTACCCCAGAGTGGCAGGTGGAGCTGCAGCCAGGGCAGCCTACGGCGCTGTGTCAGAGTGCAGGGAGCAGAGACCCGAGGTGACTTGGATGGTGCCCTAGGCTGTGGGGGAAGGGCCGCCTGTAAGATCGTGGAATTATCTTTCTGGTAAAGTTTTGATGAATAGCTCTTTGCTCCCTTCTATCCATCGTAATTTCTCCAGCCAGTGGTCACGTGGCCACACCTTTAGTAGTCTCTCACACTTTTCACTCTACATAGGCAGGTCGCGGATATTTTCAAATTTTTCCACTTTTCTTCCCTTTTAGTTATAAATTCCATCTTTAAGTCATTGCTTTATTATTGTGTCTCACTGTACTCTGGTTAAAAGTAGCCACATGGCAGCCTAAGTTTTGCTGCCTAGATTTTTCTGACATGTGTCCCAGTTCAGTGCTCTCAAGTTCTGTGCTCCACAAAGCCTCAGGCATGGGCCCAGTGCTGCCAAGGTCTTCGTCACTTGGTAACAAGGTTAGCCTTTACTCCAGCTTCCAACAGCGCCTTCCTCACTTCTGACCAAGACCTCATCAGAATGGCCTTTGCTTTCCTTATTCTCCCGGCACTCAGATCCTTCCACTTCCATAATCTCTAACCAGACTCGGATTTGCTCTACAGCTTCCTGTGGGAGCCTCACCAGAACTGCACGTCATGCTCTGCTCACGGCAATACAGGCTTCTCACCTGCTCCTTCCACCTCATCCAGCCTCTGCTCATCACCCAGGGCTGTTGCTGCCTCCACGTTGTCAGGATTTTATGATACTCAAAGCCCTACCTCTGAATTTTGGCCGAGAAAATCACACTATAGCATCTAAAAATGATTTTTTTCCCTAATAGTCTGATGTGGGGAGTTTCTTTGGGTTTAAAACTTTAAAAGTTGATTTATGATTTGTCTCAGCATTGATGACTAAGTCTACAATAAATGCCACTAGTCTCTTAAAGTTCTCTATGTGTAAATAGGAAGACTCCAATGAAATATAATTACCAAATGAGGAAGAAGTTTTTTTGTTTTTGTTTTTGGAGAGATTTTTGCTATAGGGCTTGTGTGCATACCAGAGTGACAAAGAAACAGAAAGGGAGAAATCACCCCCAGGGGGCATGGCCAAGCCACAGTCTGTCCCTTCTCTGATCTCCTCCTGGGATCTTGGACACATATGCACATGTGCCCCGTGTGAGTTTGAAGCCACCAGGTCTGGGACTCAAGCCACAGTTGGCCATATGGGAGTCCAGCAACCTAACTGCTATGCCATAAGTTAGTTTTTAAAACATAAGTTTTTTAAAAATAAGATAGGATTTTAAAAAGAAGATAACCAAAAATGTTTTAAGGTTGTCCATTTACTGTCTCGTCTGTTTAAAATCTAATTGGCTTGGTGCTAGCAGGTGGAATGGTGGTTACGGTGCTGGGCTCCCACATGGTTGAGTGTAGTTCCAGTCGCAGACCCAGCAGTTTGGAAATCATGCCAGGTGCATATGTATGCATGCCCAAAATCCTGAGAAGAGAGGGTATAAGAGAAGGGATTTTGGCGTGGCCATCACTTCTTGAGAGGTGATTTCTCACTTTCCCTCTCTGGCAAGTGCACACACCCTAGGACAAAAACCTTAAAAAAAAGGAAAAGGAGGAAAAAAAAAAAGATGCTTTTTCTTTAACACATGATAGCAAGTTTTTGTTTTTCTGGAACAGGATTTCTAAACAGCAGCACTGTTAAGGATTTACGGATAATTTTTTGTTCTTGTGGATGGTACAGTTTAGCAGCATCCCTGCCTTCTACTCTCTAGCACCCCCTAGTGGTAACAACCAGAAATGTCTCTAAACATTGTCACATGTCCTCTGGGGGGCCAAAGGACTCCATGCTGAGAATCACTACCCTACAGTAAAATCTGGAATTATTTCTTAGAAAATAATGCAGAAAAGTAACATGTTTTCCATCCCATTCTCCATTAGTGGTGAAATAAGGAAGACATTCATTCATCTCTACTTGCCAAAAAAATTATTGGCTCAAATTTCTGCTGAACTTTTCATACACTTAAGTTTTCTTGCCTATAACCCAGAGAACTTTGAAAATAGAATGTAACTAATGTGTATCAAATGTAACTTTACATTAATTTAATTTCTCCTCTTAAATCCACAGCATAAAAAATCACGTGGGAAAGACAAAGAAAACAGAGCCATTAACCCAGAGGAGAAGACTAAAGTGGAGGACACTACAGAGCACACAGTTACGAAGAGCAGATTACCTCTGCGAGCCCAGATAAATCTTTAGTTAGCTTGAGAGTCAGGGATTTTATTTTTAAGAAAAATTAAAAGTAAAACCCTGAAACTCCAAAATTCAAGCCCTTGTGTACAGATTTAAAAATCGTAGACAGTATCAAGGCAGTACTGTAAATTTAGTTGGACTGAATTTCTAGCCATTTTTCTGACATCCCTGTAGTGCATTGGGTATTCAGTTGCGTTTTATTTGGGATTTGCTTGCATAAATATATCTTTTTAGCCTTTTATATATAAAAGAACTCTTTTATAACAAATGAAAGCCATTTTTCTTATATATTATTACAATGCATAAATAGGAGCTGCCCTGTTCTAGGCCTGAACTTATGTAGGTACATGTCACCTGCACCTGGCCTTGGAAAGGACCATGTCATTTCTCTCCTTGCTGTGACTCGAGTCTGTATTTCTTACTCCTCCCCAGACTTTCCTACTTTGTCCTCTCTAGATCACTTTTCCCCTTTTTGTCACCAAACCGTTCATAGAGCTACAGGAAGAGATCCTTTCTTATGAGCTAGCCAGACTTTTACCGTACTATCTTAATGCTTTCCATCCTCACTATCTGAATTCTATCTTTTGGTTATAGCCAAAAAAAAAAAAACTATTAATAAACATGACCGTATAAATTTCTCTTCTTTCAATACTTTGAATTTGTTTCCCCCCCAGATGTGAATTTTTTTTATGAGGCCTACACTTAGCTCCTACAGAATTCACAAAAAGCCAACTTCTGCAGAACATAAATTGGTGTCACGGGAGAACTGCCTGGATCCCTGCGTAATGGCGCTTAACGGTGCGGGGCTGCTGCGGCCCCACTCTAAGGCCTGTGTCTGCGAGAGGGTCACAGTGATTGAAGGAGTTTTTGGAGACTACCAATTAGATTGTAATTTATATTCCTTTGTTTACCTGATAAAACTTGTTTGTTTGTATATAATAAAATACATAAAATATGTATATGTGTTTTTCTTTATTGCAATCTGAACCCCTACAAGGGCCCTGGCATGTGTGGTCTGGCAACCATATTCGAGAGCCCTTAGAAAGAAGAGGTGTGAAGAATATGTTTCATGCCTACAGGGAGTTTACCATATAGATTTTAGAGAGATTTGGCTTTGATAGTTAATTAAGTAAAACCAAACTCTATTGCAAAATTAGAAAGATGTCACTACACGGGACCAGCAGGTGGTATAGTGGTTAAGGCACTGGACACTCCCACATGGCCGACCATGGTTCAAGTCCTGTACCTGGTGGCTTCTCTCTCTCTCTCTCGTCAAGTTCAAATAAAATGAATGAATAAAGAAAAATAATTTGGGGACTAGCAGTTAGCGTAATGGCTATGTTGCTGGACTCCCACGTAGTCGACCGCGATTCATGTCCCGGACCCGGTGGCTTAAAACTCATGCCGGGCATGTGTGCGTGCGTGCCCAAGATCCCGACAGGAGAATATAGGAGAAGGGATTGCGGTGTGGCCATCCCCCCTGGGGGATGATTTCTTGCTTTCTGTCTCTGTCTGTCTGGCGAGTGCACGCGCCCTATAGCAAAAACCTCTCAAAATAATTCTAAAAAAGTCACTTCAAGAAATTAAATTTACCTTGCAGAAGTATTATCTTAATAAAGATAATAGATATAATTTCTCTGCAAAATTGGATTATCTTCGGTCAATCCATGATTAATAAATTTGATTTGCACATTGACTTGCTTGCCCTATAATTTCTTATCTGGCATGGGTGTGTTTACAGATATACAAAATGCATTCAAATTCCCAAAGTAAACTGCACAGATAGTACCAAGGGTGTAGGTCATCTGATACGCTCCAAGGCCTGTACCTTCGGGGTACAATTTGTGACACACACCAACCCTCATGCAGTCTGAAGCCCAGCTTTCAGTTATCTCATGACTGTTTTAAAGTTACTTGAGATTGCTAATGGAGCCGCCAGATAGAATCAAAAACAAACCTCCAGAAAATTTTATTTCCCTATTTTTTTTAAAAAGATTTTTGCTATAGGGCATGCACTCTTGCTGGAGGGACAGACAGCAAGAAATCACCCCCAAGAGGAGGATGGCCATGCCACAATCCTTTTTCCATTCTCGGGATTTGGGGCACAAAAGCACACACACCCAGCGTGAGTTTCAAGCTTCCTGGTCTGACTTGAACTGTGGTTGATCATGTGAGAGTCCAGAATGAAACCATTATGCCATCTGCTGGTCCCCCCAACAAATTTTAATGTCCAAAGCCATAAATTAGTTCTACACTTTCATATATAATTTCAGGAACTCAAAAAATAACCGAAAGTAGCATCAGCAGGGGCCGACAGGTGGCATAGTGGTTAAGGGCACTGGACTCCCACATGGCTGACAGCGGTTCGAGTCTCAGACCTGATGGCTTGCTTTCCTACTCTGTCCACCCCCTCACTCTGTACCTCTGTGGTTAAATGAATAAAGTTGATAAAACAATTCTTTTAAAAAGCATCGGCAGGAAATGGCTCTGTTCTTCAGCGACATTGAAGAATTAAGTAAAACCATTCAGAAACAACTCTGTCAGAGCATTGGAGAACAAGTTTACAGCTAACAAGCATATACTGAATCAAGATAAAGGCCATCTCAAACCAGTAGGGAGGCGTTGCAGTGTTACTCGCCTTTCTTGGCTCAACATGGGATCCTGATCCCTGCTTCCTAGAGAGGAGAGAAACTCTCTTCTTAGAATATTGTGTTTATTATAAACTGTCTGGAGTAATCTCACACAGAGCACTTGCCTTTGCTTTGTCTAACTCAAAACTCAGTGGTGGAAAAGTGGCTGGCCTTTCTAGAAGATACTGTAAACAAATGAAGAACTCACTACCTACCCAGGGCAAGAAGCCCCAGCAGCTGTAAAGAAAGGAGCGTCCACCTTTCGACAAAAGCCTCAAGCATGCAAAGAAGCAAAGTATGGCTGATTTACAGATGAAAGCACCAGCTATCTCAGAGGATGTCCAGACCCTGGACTTAGCGGCAAAAAGTTTCCCTCAGCTTCCTGAAACATGCTCAAAGAGCTAAAGGAATCCAAGAGGCAGCGTCTCATCAAATAGGATATGTCCATAAGGACATGGAAAAGAAACCACGCAAGTTAGGAGCTGAAAAGTACAGTAACAAAAGGGGGGGAATGAAATGGTTCCCACAGCGGATATGAGCAGGGAGTGGACAGGATGGGACGCTAAAGCTAGGTCACTCGGAATGATCCAATCTGAGGAGCAGGAGAACAGGAAGGAAAACGAGCAGAGCTTAAGAGGCCTGTGACTACACCACACATACCAACATCTCCCAAACAGGAGTTCCAGAAGGAGAAGAGAGAGAAAAAGGGAGTACGAAGAAGTTTTGAAAGAAACGGGTTCAAGTTTTGTTAAAACACTTGAAATGGGATCCACAGGTGGGGTATAGGTTAAGGCACTGGCCTTCCACGTGGCTGACCGCAGTTCGCGTACTGAACCTGGCAGCTTGCTTTCTCACTTTCTCTCTGAGGTCAAATTAAAATAATAATAAAATAATTCTTAAAAAATTAATACCAGTTGAATATGCCTGTCAAACAAGATTGTGGAACTCAAAACAAAGTAGACTTAGGAAAGATCCACACCAAGGTGCAATCCTGGAGTTTCCCCTTTATCCACAGGATCCGAGGCCCTCAGTGGGTGACTTCTTCAGGCCTGAGGCCTGTATACACCTTATTTGTATACATACATACAAGCTATGATAAAGTTAAATTCACAAGTTAATTAATAAATGAACAAAACAGCTATGATAAAGTTAAATTCACAAGTTAATTGATAAATGAATAAAACCAATATTACAAGGTGCCAGTATTGCTACTCTTAAGCTTTGGGCCGTTTTTAAGTAAAATAGGGTTTTTTTGAACACAAGCTGTGTAATCCCACGACAATGTGATAACAGGCCAATGAGGGTAACGTGTGCACAGCGGGTACACCGGACAGAGACATGATTCTCGTCGGGTGGGACAGAGCAGGGTGGGAGATGTCATCACTCTACTCAAAACGGCACACAATTTAAAAAGTACTGCTCATTTCTGGAATTTTCCACTTAATATTTTCGAACTCCAGGGGACTGCGAGTAACCTAAACTGCATTAAAGGAAACCAAAGATAAGAGGAGACTACTGTATAATCAAACTACGAAACTGAAGACAGAATCTTGAAATGTTCATTAAAGCCACAGTGAGATGCCCCTTTATATCCAGGAGGATGGCCCAGACAAGTAATATAGAAAATAGCGTGTCGGCGAGGATGTTGGGAATCGTACCCTTGTACATTGCAGGTGGCAGTGTAAAATGTGAAGCCACTGTGGCTCCTAAAAAGGTTAAACGATTTCCATATGACCCAGCATTTGCATGCCTAGATGTCTTCCTAAGAGAAATAACATGCATCCACACAAAAATGTGTACACAGGGACCTGCAGGTGGCGTGGTGGTTAAGGCATGGACTCCCACATGGCCGACCGTGCTTTGAGTCCTGGACCTGGTGGCCAGCTTTCTCACTTTCCCTCTCTTTCTCTCTGTCTGTCTCTCTCTGGTGAGCACTCATGCCCTCTAACAAACTAAAAAATAAATTTATTTAAAAAAATGTGTACACAAATGCTCATAGTGCTACTGTTCATAATGACCAAAGAATATAAATAACCCAAGTGTCCGTCAATGTATCAATGGATAAAATACAGATACACACATGGTGGGCTACTCAGCCATAAAAATACAGTATTGAGATGTTGCTGTTTATGAACCTCAGACACTGCTGAGTAAAAGAAGTCAGACACGAGCTCACATGTATAATTCCACTTTTATCCAGAATGGATAAATTCATAGAAACAGCTGACTGGTGGTTACTTAGGCTGGGGTGAGAGAGGAAATGGGGAATGACTGTGGTTCGAGTCCTGGACCTGTCAGCGTAAATCTCACTGACGGCACGTGTGCATGCGTGCCCAAAATCCCAAGAGAATGGAGGAGAAGGGATTGTAGCATGGCCATCCCCCCGTGGAGGGATGTTTCTCGCTTTCTGTCTCTCTGTCTCTCTCTGTGTCTCTGGCAAGTGCAAGTGCCCTATAGCAAAAATCCCTCTCTTAAAAAAAAAAAAAAAAAAGTAAGCAGAAGAAAAGAGATTGTTTTTATAAGAACAAGCTGCTGACAGCTAAAATTGGCAATAGAGAGTTTGGAAGCAGAGACTGAAATGATAGCTCCGAAGTACGGAGGCAATGTTACTGGAAATGCTGCAGTAAGGTCTTCTGAAAACTCACTCCACCGTAAAAATGAGAATATTGAGACTGGGGCTGGCAGCTGGTGTGGACTATGTTGGAACTGAGATGAGGTCCCTGTGGGTCAGGAGGGCGACTTTCTGTAGGTTGACTTGTGGGGTCTCTACTGTGACCCCACCTTTCTAGGAGGTGGACCCCAGCTCTCAGCAACCACCACACCCTCCATGGTGCTTCTTGCCCGCCTCTCTCTGAACTTTGCTCTCGCTCTGACACCAGCGGACTGGAGGGGTGAAGATCTCGCGGTTGGTTTCTTTGTGGATCTGGCACCGTAACATTGGTTCCTTTCATTTTCTCATAATACTGGGTTGTCGGAAAAGTCCTAAGTATTTTCCTGTTTTTCTACGCAAAAATGCATCACAACTTTCCTGATAACCCAATAGAATCGGGAGTGCTCCTTGAAGCTAAGAATGGGGGATTATGTCCTCAAAAAATCTCAGATCACTCCATGAAAATGGAAAAATCAGGGCCGGAATCTGGACTGGCTTTAACATTTTCCTTCAAACATTTGGGTCCTTAGCAACAAAGTCTCTCTTCCTCTCCTTTCCGGGTGGTGATAGAAGGGCAAACAGCTGGTGAAAAAATGCAAATGAGCAGATTGGTGTGCTCAAAGTTCTAGA